GGGGGGAGGGGGATGAGAGGAGGTGGGGAGGGTGGGGAAAGGGGGGGGGTGGGGAGGTGGTGGGGGGAGAGTGGGATAGGGGTAGGGAGGAGAGGGAGTGGAGATAGGGTTTGTGAGGAGAGGGTGAGTGGAGGGGGAGAGGGGGCGTGAGCGAGAGAGGGAGTGTGGGGGGAGAGAGAGATAGGGGTGGCGGTGGGGGAGGAGAGAGGTGGAGTGGGGGGAGAGGGGAGGGGTGGGGGAGAGAGAGATAGGGAGTGGTGGATGAGGAGAGGGGAGAGGGCGTTGAGGGGTGGGGGAGGAGAGGGGAGGAGAGAGGGGGTGGTTGAGGAGATAAATAGACAAATGTAAAAAAATATGCATGGATAAAAAAATGTGAATAAATAATGAAAGAAAAATAAAGACAAATGTATAAAAACAAATGAAGGAATTAATATATCAATTAATTAATACATTAATCAATATATTGATTAAAATAATATATATTTTTCTTTTTCTCTTTGTTTATTATTAATCATCCTCATCTTCTATAGTCTATTTTTTTAAATATATAATTTACTACTATTAATTTATATATAATTCTTTAATTCTTTTAATATAATTAATATCATCTTTGAAAAATAATTGTAATATATAATTTGATATATAATTTTTAGTTCTTTAATATTTTAATATAATCTTTATAAATAATCTTAATATATTATTTGATAATAATTCTTGATACTTTTAATTAATTAATATAATCCTTAATCTATAATTCTTTATTTTCTGGACGAATCTGCAGCTGAAAGAGAATTTAACGGTTTCTTTGAATCATATCTTCGTGGCTTATCTTAATCTTATCCTATGAATCAATGTCTTAACTGCACATTTTATTTTATTTTATTATTTATTTATTTATTTATTTATTTATTTATTTATTTTTTAGGGGAAGGAGTATTTTTTTAGGGGGGGCTTTAATTTAACGGTTTATTTGAATCATATCTTCGTGGCTTATCTTAATCCTATGAATCAATGTCTTAACTGCACATTTTATTTTATTTCATTATTTATTTATTTATTATCTATTTATTTATTTTTTAGGGGAAGGAGTATTTTTTTAGGGGGGTCTTTAATTTTTTATGGGGGGGGGAGGGGTACCCAAACGGTATACAGACGGGCATTTTATACAATTTTTCATATAGACATAATATTCTCTAATTTTAAATAAGGTCCTGTTAATCAATCTATTTAATTACCTATTTGCATCTATCCTATTATTACAATTTAGCAAGCAAGTGTTTTTTCTATTACCTATTAACAAGAAAACCGATTATTATAATCAAATCATTTAGCTTCCTCCTAGTAACAATACTAATGATGTCATTATCAACACTTTAATTACAATTACTAGTAACAGCAAATAGTAATTGGTAGTAATTAAACTGAATATTACAATCATGATCATCAATAATAGTAGTCATAATTACATTTTGTAAATATTATTATCACTGTTACTATCACTATTATTATCATTATTGTATTATCAATACAATTATTTTTTTTATCATTTATCATATCATTATTATAACAAAAACTATTATCATTATTATCATTATCATCATTATCATTATTATGACCAAAACTATTATTATCATTATTATGACCAAAACTATTATTATCATTATTATTATTATTATAATTATCATCATTATCATTATTACCATTACTACTGTTATTAGCATCATTATAATTATCATCATTATCATTATTACTTTTATTTGTATTACAATTATTACTAACACTATCACCATCATTATGATTACCATTTTTCATATTGCAAAGGTATTTTATCTAATACTTGAATCTATATTTTTGTAACACTTCGATTCCAAAAAATAAATATAAATGAATATTAAAAAACAATAAAAAAATACGTCTGTTCGATTCCTGTCGCGTGAAAGGTGTCGCGTTTCCCGGAACCGCAGGAAAAGATGCTTATTAAGATCTCTAACTCACTTATTATTTTTCGTTTCATTATATCATTACTTTTTTGTTATCTTATTTTGTTTCGTTACTTATGTTATTTTATTTATGATTTCCCTATTTCTGATTTTAAAAATATTCTTAACTATTTCAGATATTTAAAAATCTTTCATATCTTTTTTTTTTCTTATTTCAGATATTTTTAAAAAATCTTACTTATTTCAGATGAAAAAAATCTCATTACATATCTTTCAAAAAATCTTTTATTTCAGATAAATTAATCTAATTTCATATCTTTATTTTTTTTCCTCATTTCAGACCTTAAAAATTATTTCTTATCTCTATATCTTTTTTTCTGATGTTCCTCAATGTCTCTTAATCTCTCTCTAAGTCAACCAAAAGTGCCGTTGCCTCACCTCGGTCGCTCTGTCGAAGGCCTGCGCCATGCTCTCGGCCTCGACCTCATATCTCTGCCGGAGAGCGTCGTACTCGTGATACACTGCCTCCGAAACTGTGGACACGACTTTGGCTTCAGAGT